AAAAAAAAAACCCTTCCCAATTAAAAAAGTCAATGGTCCCAAGGTAAGCGTTGACAGAAAATACCTGCTGAACGTATGAAAACATTTTTTAAAGTGTGTATTTCCTCCAATATGACTTGTAATTTACAATGTCACCAGCCAACACAGAAGTGCATTATATTCTCTAATACTAAGATTGTTTAGGTTTTCTGATATTTGCTAGTTTTACTAGCACAGATGGTCTATTTATTCATTCATTCAATAAAAATCACCCTTGAACTGGAGAGGTTTCCCAGTTTGTTCTGTGGAATGGTATTTTAAACATCAGTATGAGTTCTTAACACAGGATAAGTCAATCCTTCAACTATAATGTTATCTCCCCTCTGAAACTGCTTTCCTTTTTTTGTTACTGGATCTCATTTTATAGAACTGCTATTTTTACATGATTCTAAAAAGAATAAGAGGTTCAAAGTCAGAAGCTTTCGAAGACAATGAAATTTTGTGGATCACTGCAACCATCTCTAGAGATGACCACAGTCAGAAAGTAGGTCCTAGCTTTGACGCAACAATTATTCTGAGAACACCTCCTTTAAAAGAGGATTTTTTTTTAATTTTAGTGAAAATAATAGTAATAATAAATTCAACCAAAGATGTCATCTCAGCATCTCTAACAGAAATGTAAGTAGTGGTAGGGCAGTGCCCATAAAAGATGGACACTGGTGCCATCTACCTGCTGACCAGACAAAGAGTCAAGGCTTGCAGATGCCAATTACATGAGAACCCAGCTCTGCTCAGCCTCAGAAGCCTCTAGTAAAAAGCAGCATGAAGCCAACATCAAGGGAGAGGTGAGGTAAATTTACATTAAATCAAATCATGACGCAGCAAATGCTGTAGAAATACAGAAAAGTATGACAAGACTGCAGCTACAGGCAGGCCTGCATAGCAACACAACCAGGGGATGGTGGTGGGCAACTTCAGGTTATGGGGGACTTTTCTGTCCTTCTTACAAAGTTCTTCAGTATCATTGTTATACTGACTTTCCACAACACTACTTTGGGGGTGTGGGGAAGACGGTCCTGCTTCAGCCCTGAGCCCCCTCCTGGAAAGCTCCCTTTCTGGGAGTAGGTGTGGCTGCCTATCCATGGCAGGACCTACTCTGCCTGCTACAGTCAGGGCTCCACTAGGGTGCAGAGGATTGAAGAGATTCAAGGAAAAATGAGACTCCCCCACTTGGCTGGGGCAGTGGAAGCTGAAAACTCTATCGGGGGAAAAGGCACTTCCTCACAGGCCACATGGCCACTATGTATACTCTTAACCTCTAGGATGTCTGGGCTGTGAGAACATCCAGGGATCTAAGAGGGAGAGAAAAGGGACACCAAACAGCCAGTCGTTTCTATTTCTATTACCTTCTTCTTGGCCTTTCCCCTTCCCAGTAAGCCAACTGGTTAACTGCAGGTTACCAGGTATACCTAAGTATCTCTCAGTCTCCAGCCAGTCTAGAAAAGTGAGTGAATGAAAATGTGCCTCCACAACCTGGATCAATCTAGCTGATTTCTGCCTGTCCCTCAAAACAGCTCAAACATGGCCTCCTTGACTCCCCAGGCCAGGCTGGACTGGGTTTTGTGATTTCCTTCCCTCACAAGCCTAGGGAATCATTAGAGACAGTGTCCAGCATTTACTCTCCCTTCCAGTAAAACCTTGGTGGGGGTGGGGGAAGGGAGGGAAAGGGTGCTATTAGAATAACCTTCTTAACCTTGGCTACACGATGGTACAAACACCCCAGAAAGTGCAAGCAAAACTGTGCACAAACACATGTGCATCTTCTCTGGCAAGGACCATAGCTTTTCATCAGATTCCCAGTCACAGTCTGTGACCCGGAAAGCCTATGGACTTCTGTGGCAGACAGAAGATTCCTAATACATGCTTATAGAATGAATGGCAGATGGGTATACTGGTCACTGTGAGTTTTCTACTAAAATTCTGATTTGTTTCAGCTGGGTAAAGAACTTCAATGTACAAATCTCAAAGCGAATGAGAGACATTATAAAACATGAAAAACAATCACAACAAATAGAAACTTGTTACTTTCCTTACCATCACTCAGACCACCCAGAGCCTTGGCCTGAATTTCGGGTTTGGCAGGAGGAACCGTTTTCTCCTCATCTCGAGTTGGCTCGGTTTCGGCTTTCTTAACCTGGAGTGGACACCCACTGCTGACCAGCCAGGCCTTCAGGTGATCAATGTACTCTCTTCCAAACAGAGTAGAGTCCTCGAAGTTTGGAAATGAGGCAGGAGAGGGAGCTATATCTTGGAGGCCGACAGCTTCTAAGATTTTCTCTTGCCGGAAAGAAGAGGCCAAGGAGAACGTCTGTCCCAAAAGGGCTAAAGACTTCCGGCAGAGAGAATTGGTGGTCTCCAGGGCAACAGCCAAGTCCAGAGGGTTACTGAGGGTCTTCATCTTGACACTCAGCTCGTAGGCATTGCAGGCCATGAGCAGTGGTGTGACACTCTTCAGAAGCCGGTCTTGAAGCCTCATTATGTATTTATCAAAGGGCTTTATGATTTCAAAAAAGCAATTTTTGGTCTTCACAGCACCTTTGTCTAAAAGCATGTTTAAAAACTCGTTATCAACTCTGGGAGTTTTCAAAGCAGAGTGCTTTAAAAATTTGATAGTAAAAAAGCAAAAATCTCTGTGCTCTGGTTTTAAAGAACATTTGAATGAGGCAAGCATTTTAGCACAGGTTTCGGTTTCAAGTTCAAAGAGAGTCTGGAAAAGCTGGGAAAATTTAACATCATCTTTTATGGTGTGGAATCCTGCCCATTTGATTATTTCTATCCCAAATCTCGAAAAAACATCAGACTTATCTATGAGGTCGAAGCTCATCTTTCTTCTGGGGAGCCGAATATCCTTCAGATTAAGCCCCAAAGGGATTTTCTGAGTGGGGAATTGGATATCTCCTGTCGCTGGGTTTGTCCCCAGGGTCACATCAGGACTTGGGGTGGTTTTCTGGATTTGGTTAGTGCCCTGAGTTTTGGGAGTGATACGACTTATAGTGGGTACCTTTTTGGTGCTCACATTTCTCAGCGTGACAAGTTTCCCGACCCCCGCTTTAGGTGTGAGCAGGCCTTGGGTCTCCCCTTTTCCTAGGAGGGCACCTTCCTGGTCAACAATGTTTAGACCTCGGCCTCTGCCCTGGACTTGGCCACCGGCCCTGAGCACAGAGTCTGCCTCCCCTGGACGGTCCACGTCATAATCCCGACTCTCTTTCTCCAAACACTCTTTCTCAATCAGCCTGGAGGAACCAAAGTCCCCCAGTAATGCAGAAGGACCAAAACTATACTCCTGCGACCAAGAGGATTCTTGAGAAACTGCGTGGCCAAAGTCTTGTTCCCAAGAGCCACGGAGTGCAAACTTCCAGTCCTGAGAACGGAAATGTCCCAATTTCCGGTGGCCAAAGACCTGGTCTCGGGAATCAGGGTGGGAAAATTCCAGCTCCCGGCCACATTCTTTGCGAAAATAGCTGTCATCACTTACTGAAGAGTTGCTTGATCTGAAGGAAGGTCCTGGAAATACATCACCTCTCAGGCCTTCTCTCCCAGTGTCTCGAGGATGAGCTACAGATCCCCCCAGAGTATATCTGCTGTCACTGTGAATGTCATCATACATATCTGCTCTGGCTCTTGGGACTGTCCTTAGAAGCTCTGAAATAAACAATCCAAAAAGAAATACAAAGGTACTTTAGACCAGAAGTTGCAAACAGATGGTCCACAGTCCTACAGCCAGGAGTACTTTATCAGCCAGAGTGCATTTTAGAAATGCATATTTGATGCCAACATTTAAAATGTGTGTGGTTTCACTTAAAAATCTAGATTTACTTCTTATAAAAACAGAAGACCTACAAGCACTGGGCCTGCATTTGCCCTGACAACAGTCCATGGAGGCTGGGCAGCAGTGCCCCTCACTCACTCAGATCTCCTGCCCTGGCTCTGTTTCACAAGCCCTCTTTTGGACTCAGGGAAGGACGTGTGGTCCCCTCAAAAACCTGGACTTTATTGTGACCAGACCACTTGTGTATTTCTATTTCTATCAGCAGACAGGTTTTCTAGAGGCTGCCTGCCTTCCCCACTTCCTAGGAGGAACTCTCAGCCCACAGTGCCACTGAGGCAAGAGCCACATCTGACACTGCACCCACTACAGCTGGCTAGGCCATGGCCAAGCACCTGACCCAAAGTTGGCTGACAGGCTCCCTCAGAAAGGTCCAACACTCTGAAAGAACAGAGACTGAGGCAGATAAGAGGGAAGGCAGAAGCTAAACAAGCCACAACAACAGAGGCCATAATGGAAACTGAACAGTGTGTGCTTTTGTCCTCTTCTGTGTGGAAATGAGGAAAATAGGAAACTATATTTGCATTTTCTCATTCATGCATAAACTGTACAAAGCTAGGAACAGAAGTGAACTATGGGCATATGGCAACAGAGGGTCTCAGGGAGACTTTGCACAGAGTGCCTTTCTTATTCTCTGGCTTTTGAATCAGAATCTACTACCTCATCAAAGTCAAATGAAAAGAAAAGCGAGCGAGAGAGAGATGCTAAGAAGTAGCGATGGGCCGAGAGGCCACAGGAAGCCAGGGCTTTGTATAAATCTAAGTCTTTTTGTCCAACAAGTACTTACTAAGCACCTACAGTGTATGGGCACTGAAGTTACAGCAGGGAAAGGAGACAACAAAGTCCCAACCTTCCTAGACCTGTTAGTTGAGTAAGCCAAACAATAAACAAAAAATTCTTCAGGTGCAAGAAAGCACCTATAAGAAATATCAAGCAGGCGGGAACATGAAGAAGTAAAGCCACTTTCAGACAGGCTGGTCAGGTGGGCAGCTCTGACAACAATGTATCTAAGCAGCAGAGGCCTGGTGTGAGAGGCTAGAAAGTGCAGTTATGGGGAAAGCCTTCCAGGTAAAGGGAGTGTGAGGATAAAGCCCTGAGGTAAGAAGAGGAGGGGACAAATGTGGCCAGAATGGAACAGAAGGAAGGAGAGGCAAAGTGGTAAGAAGGCAGCACCTAACTCTGCTGCACACTGAAGTCCCTGGGGATCACCCCTCTCAACCAGGCATTCTGATTTAATTAATGAGGATGAGGCGTGACTTGGGCATTAGGGTTTTTAAAAGGTAGAGATGTTTCCAAAATCTTCAAGCATCCTATTGGGTTTGTAGCCTCCCCCGCCCTCAATCTTTCTTGAAGTAACTAAGGTATGTATTGGTTTATGAGTCTCTAGGAAAAGATAAATCAAAATTTTAAAATATATATGTATATACACAAACATGTGTGTACATACATATACATATGTATATACATATACACAGATATTTGGATGTATATGTATGAAAACATGTAAGTGTTTAGGATTATATACATAGGGCTAAAAGAATTGAAGGATGCACAAAATACCACTGACACGGTTACTTCTGAAGAGTAAAAGCAAAAAGGCTTTTTATATCCTACTCTTAACTACTTAATTTTTCTAGTCTTTTGAAATAGGAATGTTTTTGTGTACCACTTATATAATTTTTGAAAACTCAGAATCTGGAGACAGTCTCTGAGCTTCAGTTTCTCCAGGTCCAAAGCACTTAGACTCATTCAACCAATAAGGCGGAAGCCTCCTCCACAGCTATGCTGGTGCAACAGCGAGCAGCACAGGCCCAAAGCCTGGATGAGGCCAGCCCAAGGCAGAGGAGCAAGTACACAATGTAAAATCAATGCCAAGGCTTACTAAGGTCTCCTAGGGGGAGGCACCTGTGAGCTGGGTCTTAGTGCCTGAGGGAATTAACCACACAGAGCTGGGATGAGGGATTCAAAACACAGTTAGGCACACTGTATCACAGAAACATGAGGCCCAAGGCAGGGGATGAGGGCTAGGAGCCTCGTGTGCCATGGTGAGGGACCTTCACACTGTCCTGCAATCTTTGCAGGCACCATTTTTGATTCTGCTGGTATGATGTTTCAAAACTTTGCAACGGAAATGTTTTCAGGCAGAGCCTACACTCAGCAGCTCCACAGCTCCTCTGCACCCCACACTCTCCTGTCTTTTATACACCAGTTACCTGGCTGCTCCTGTACTTGTCTGAGGCTCTAAGCCCAAAATGGGGAGCCCCAAGAATCCAAGCAGATCTGTGGGGAGGGCAGATTCAAGGAGAATGAAGCCAGAAGCTGAAAGACCTTTCAGGAGGAGATTCTGCAATAATTCAGGTAAGAACTGGTAAGAGCTCAAACCTGGGTAGTGATGGTGAGCCAGGAGATTTAAGAACCCTTCTTTAGGTGGGGGAGGGTGCCTAGGGAAAAGCAGCTCTGGATAATGACAATACCTCCTTCTATATAATGATTTGACAGGTGGACCAAGAAAAAATTTTATCTCCCCTTAACAAATAAGAAGGTAGGATCAGAGGAGTTGCAATTTGCTTACAGCATTGAAATCCTCCTGCCCTGACCCTAAACACATGCCTCAATCCCTCTACCCCAAAAAAATTTACCTTGAGCTTTAAACTGAAGAGCTTCACCTACAGCCTCACCACTGGGGTCCATATGATATCGGTTAGCCTTTTCTTGCAATACAGCATCAAAAGTCTCCTGTGTGATTCTCCTTGCTGCCATGTTTCTCTGACCTGTAGTGAGAAGGCGGAAAAAAAGACACTAAGAGTGACAACTAAAGCTCACAGAGTCTGCTCTGTTTCACCTAATCCTCAAAGTAACAAGGCAGTAATCCATAATCTGGCACGGTACTTCAGAGGGAGGCAGGATTAATTTGAGGGGAGCTCTGCCCTCATGAACCTCAAAGGTGTGTGTTGGCTGAGGAGCAAGGCAAGCATGTTGAACCTGGACAATTTATTCTGCTTCTCGGAGCTTATTTCCTCATCTCTTAAAAGAAGCTCTATAAAAGCAGTTCTGTCTCCTGGGGTTGCTGGATGACTGCATGAAGCAATACACGTAACTGAATACAACAGTGTAGGGGAGTAGGAGCACAACCCCTGCAAATGCTGGTTAGGAAAGATGTGATCTTTCCCACTGCTATTTTCCCGTTTCACAGAAGAGGCTCTGAGAGCTGACTTCCCTCTGAGAGAGGCCTCTCAGTGAGTGGGTGGAAAAATCCCTGACCAGTGACCAGCTTACTCTGTGTCAGGTCTTGCTGCAGGGGAGGGACTTCCACGATCCCATTCACTTCTTGGAAACAACCCAGTAAAGAAGTGGGTCCTATTATGAATGAAAAGATACAAAACTGGAAAAGGGAAATTCAGGCTAAGTGACCCACCCAAGGTCAGCCAGCCCAGACTGTAACCTGGCAAATAGGGCACTGGTAGTGGGGACAAAGCCCTGAGGGCTGAGAAGAAAGAGACTGAAAAGCAACATTGAGAAAGCCAGTGGCGGTGTCCTTAACCACCAAGATATATCTTGAAATCCCAGCTTCAAAACCCAAACCTATCCCAGCCATATAGCCATTTCTTACAACCATCACCCTCTTTTCCTATCCTTCCGTCCTTTTCGTGGGGGCGCCCCTTGTTCTCTGCTATCGAAGGTCAGGGTCTCCCAGCCAGGTGGCCTGGGATCAATTCAAGAGACCTAATCTTTCTGTGCCTCCGCTTCCCCATCTACGGAATGAGCAGCTAATGGTGGGGGTTGCTGTCGGGATGGAGCCAGTTTAAAAAATGGCAAAAAGCCAGATACAGCGCCCGGCCGCCGTTATCGCCCCACCAGAGGGGCTGCTCCAGGCTCAGGTGGAATGAATGAATGAACAAATGAACGAATGAACCCCTTCGGGCGCGGCCCGCCTCCTCTTGGCCTCCGAGAACGAAGAAAAGGGGACGTCGGGCACGGGAGGCCTAAGACCGCCCCCCAAGCCGACCCGGCGGGACGCGGCCACAGCGCAGCTCAAGGGCCGAGCCCGCTGCGCCATAGGGGGGACCTGGGATTCCTGGGATCAAGCCCAAGCCCCCCACTCCGGGGCCCACCCGTCGACGACGCCCGGGCCCGGGCCTCACCC